AAACCTCCAACCATAAGAACCTTAGAAAATGAAGGACATACCCTAATTCCTAAACAAAACTCAAAACCCACAGGCCATAGGGATAAGATAGACAAGTGGGACCTCACTAAACTGACAAGTTTCTGCAAAGCCAAAGAAACCATCAAGAGAGCAGGAAGACAGCCTACAGACTGGGAAAAAGTATTTGCCAACTCCAGGTCTGACAAAGGCTTAACATCCTGGATCTATAAGGAACTCAAATGTGCTGAAAAGAAAAAAACAAACAACCCCATTATAAAGTGGGTAAAAGATATGAACAGACACTTCACAAAGGAAGATATCAAGCAGCCAATTGACAGATGAAGAAATGGTCAACCTCCTTAATCATCAGGGAGATGCAAATCAAAACCACACTGAGATACCACCTAACTCCAGTCAGAATGGCAATTATCAACAACTCAAAAAATAACAGCTGCTGAAGAGGGTGTTTGCCACACTTCTACACTGTTGGTGGGAGTGTAAACTAGTGCAACCTCTGTGGAAAGCAGTGTGGTGATTCCTAAAAGCTCTAAACATCAACCTCCCATATGACCCTGCAATCCCCCTACTGGGAATATACCCTGAAGAACTCAAATCACTCTATAAAAAAGATACCTGCACACGAATGTTTATTGCAGCATTTTTCATAATAGCAAGAACCTGGAACCAACCATGCTGTCCATCAAAAGAGGACTGGATTTAAAAAATGTGGTACATATACACGATGAAATACTATGCAACCATAAAAAAGAACAAAATCATGAATTTTGCAGCAACCTGGATGGAGCTAGAGTCTATAATACTAAGTGACCTCTCACAGAAACAAAGATCTGAGTATCACATATTCTCTCATATAGTGGACCTTGATCATCCAATGCACTACTATAAGAAAATGACTGACAGTGTTGGGAAACTATGTGGGGGGATGGGACTAATGGTAGTAAATATCTGTCTGGGGACAGGGAGACACCTGTTATCAACAAGGTGGCCTGAATGAAGCATATTTGTATACCTAACCCTTAACTGTACCCCACAATATCAAAATAAAAAATATCGATAAACAACAACAACAAAAACAATCAAATGGATATTCTAAGACTGAAAAGCTGTAATAGCTACAATTACAACTCAATCAATATTAAATAGAAGATCAAAAGAGAAACAGTGGTAATATTATTGAACTCCAAACACTAGTCAATATAAAATACATGTCCTAGGACACAAAGATAAAACCTAGTAGAAAAGTAGAAACAGATAAATAGATGATTAGTGAAATCTCTTACATACTCATTAGTAAAATGTCTTTGAAACTGAAGAGATGAGAATAGAGAATGAATGAAAACATCAACAATAAAAAAAATGGAAAACCCAGGATGAGATAAACAGAAACAAAACCACACCAAGGTATATTTTAGTCAAAATACTGAAACCAGTGAGAAACATAAAATTTTAATATTAGTCAGAGGAAAAGAAAGACAACAATAAACTAGGAACCTAACTTAACAGAAATAATGAAAGCCAGATTTAATGTTGTTCTAAAATTGGATGACTCCAACTTTATTTGCGTATCCCATTTTTAAATTTTTACATAGTTTTAGATTTACAAAAAGCCTAAAAGGCAGTACAAAGATTACTGTAGATTCTTCAACCAGAACACTTGAAGTTAAAATATTAAAATATTTACTATATTATTCTCTGTGTCTCTCAGTTTGGTGGTTTTTGTGTTCAGGGAATTTGGAATGTCATTTGTCAAAACTTTTTAAGAATTATGTTGATGTTGTTTTCCTTTAGAAAGTAATAATATTGTTAATTGACAGAAATATTGTTAATTGACAGATTATTATTGACCTTGAAATACTTTAAGTAAGTGTGTTGCTTAAAATACTTTTGTTAGCCAAATTTAGGGCTATATGCCAAATGAGTGCTCATTTTTAGTTACACATTTTCTATAAAAAAATTTACTTTCCCTTTTATCTCATCAAAGGTCAAGACTAGTAAGGATCCTTGTCAAAACTTCCTGAAATATAGGTTCATTTGTTATTTCTTGTGTGAACTTGTGGCCCTTTAGCGTGGGGTCACAATTTTGGAAAGATAACTTGTATTTAGTCATTCAAATTAGGTGGTCATTAGGCTTTATCTTGTGTTTCCGGTGCTCTTTTAAAACAGCTAATGAAATATGAAAAATAATTGCAATAGCTTGCTTGACATAAGTAACTCCATTTTGTTAAAATCTTCCATCTTAGCTATCTGCCTGACTTAAAAATGACCCCTCCAGTATGTATGTGTAATTGTAATGTTCCCATGACCACAGATCCACAGCCTTGTTCCCTAAGCTGTTCACATTGACTGTTCTTGCTGACCGTTTGAAAACTCCGTAGTCACAAGTTCCATGTAACTGTATGCCTTGTTAACTGAACTCCAAGAGATTGTTCCTTTTGTTTTTAGTTCCTTGTTCCCTCACTCCCCTGCTATGTAGCCCACTTGCAGTTTTTGCTGTTATAAGCATCTTGCTAGTTTAGTTGGGTGTCGAGAGCTTTCTTGGCATGAGCCTACTCTTGACCGTGTGCTATTAAAGAACTCAAAATTCAAACCAGATGTGCTGGTGATTATCCTTTCTTATGGTTCATTTATAACACTTAGACACCATAAAAAAGAAACAGAAGTTGACCACATTTATTATAAACCCTCAGAATGAAAGCCAATGCCTGAGGTAGAAATTTATACTTAATTTTTGATTCCCATTTTACTTAATTCTGAGATTCTATACATTTTCCACCTGCTTTTTAGTTCTATAATGTTTTCTCCTGGTTTTAATATATTATTCAATAATATCATTAAACATCTTTTGTTATTTTCAGTGTGTCCAAACCTCAAGCTATCTTTCCTCTGTGTCTTTGTCCATTCAGGCTTCTATAACAAAGTACTATAAGACTGAGTGTTTTATAAACAAGATAAATTTATTTGTCACAGATCTGGGAGCTGAAGGTCCAACATTGGGATGTCAGTGTTGTTGGATTCTGGTAAGAGCCTTCTTCTGGATTGCAAACTCAATTTCTCTTTGTATCCCACATGACAGAAAAAAGTCCAGAGAGGTCGCTGGGTCTCCTCTCTTTTACAAGGCCCCTAATCTCATTAAAAAGGGATGCACGCTGTAACTTATGTTGAAGTCAAAATAAAAATGTAGAGATGAATATTTAAATTTAATGTTTTATTTGGGAAGAATTGTAATTTAAAGCATAATATAGACCAGTCTGTTCAAAAAATAAAGGAAAATTTAGAGGTTTTTTAAAAAGGAAAAGTGTTACATACTGCATTTGGAGAAAGTTCAAGGTACTGGTAAGGGTTTGGGGCGCTAGAAATCTCTGATTGATGAGTAAAGGCAGTGATTCACTTCAAATTACAAGCAGTTTCAGCAATCAGGGTTGTAGAGAACTACATTCTTGGAGCAGTGTTTTGTACCCTGAATGCTTTTCCTCCCTAGCTTCTTGACTCTGTTGTAGTTGAGTATGATAAGAATCATTTGATTTTTATGATCAGCCTTTATATTTACTCCTTTTTAAAGATCTTTCTTTGAAAGCGTCATTGATTAATCATTTTGAAGTGAGGCTTAGTTGTTTCTTCCTGCCAGAATGGACCTGTCCCCAGTCGTCTCTGATCCACATTAGAGGAAAGGTATGGGAATCTGTCAAAGACTCAGGCCTCATTTGAATAACCAAAAAGCAGTAAGAAAAGACAACCTTAGGGAAGATTTGTCTGGAGTTTAGCATCAAGTTCCACTTTATCAGTTCATAAGCACCAGCAAACATCTATAGGTATTGAGCTAACATTTTCCTTATAGAACAGTTGGTTTCACAAAGATGAGAAAGACAATAAGAACAAAGCTTAAAAGTCGTGATACAAAAATAATTAGCAACAGTTACCAGTCATAGCAACAGAGATGGAAGCAGAAAAAAAAAGTTAAAAGAGCCTGCAGAAAAATCAAAAGAGAATGTTACGATCCCAGGCCTTCTCAAATCAAGAGAATATTGAGGGCAATAAAGTTTGACCCCTAAATTTTGTGCAACAAGATTCAGCAAAAATTGAATTTCTGAGATATGAATTTGAGAAATTTTAAAAGCAAAATTCATTTAAAATTATCATGTAATACCATGTAATTATAATTTTTAACCTGCAACTGGGGAAATTAAATAGATCTCAGGAATAAGATGGCTAAATAAATAGATTTTAGAATTAAAAATCAAAACCTCTTGCAATTTTGTGCAAATAAATCTGTTCTTTAAGAAAACCTTATTGTTTTAAATATAGTGAACCAGAGTATTAGTATATTCCTGAAACCAGTGTTTAAGTTTTTAGGAAAACACAGTCTCTTTCCAACCCCAGTCAAGCTGGTTACACACAAACTTCTTTTATTAGGCTCATTTGCAGAGAAAAAGAGAATGAACCAGTAGTCAGGCGAAGAAAGAAATGTATTAAAGGGAAACAAGAGGGAGACTGGTCCTAGAGAAGAACCAGCCCCTTCTTCTTTTTGTGGGTCCCTCTTGTACCCTGCAGCTGAAGTTTGGTGATCATGTAATACACCTAGTTCTGAGACAGTAAGTGCTGGTGGTCACGCAGTCTTGAGATGTGACCTTGAGAAAGCAGGTGCCAGCAGCAAAACAAGACGTCTTAAGCAAACAAGGTTAGCACAATGAGTTATTTCAACAATGGGTTACTCATGGGAGCCCTATCACTAAGGTTTATTACCCCTTGAAATTAAGAGTGCCCCTCTACTCCAGCGCATATACTCTGAGGCTTGATCAAGGGGCAGCCATGATTATCTTTGAATTGCATTCATGGTCTTCTTTCCTTGCCTTGGAAAATCGCCAAATTGTTCTGTTCCTTTGGTTTAAGAAGTCTGACAGTCTTCTTTATTTTGTCCTGTTTTTACTGTTTCCTTTGGTCCCAGGTGGCAGTATTTCTGCTGATATAACCCCTTTTCTATTCCAGGCTTTTGTTGAGGTGGTCTATTAAGTTCCTACACAATCCTCTGCATGCAGATGTATGTGTTTGGAGTCGAACAGTTTTCCGTGTAGCCTTTAAAACTTGAGCCATAGACTGCACATGTTCCCTTTTGCATTTCCACTATTGTTAGTCTAGATGAAAGACAATTACACATTACATTCATGATTTTATTAATGAAGGAAAATAAAAATGAAAACTTCAAATATAGGCACTTACTATCATTTCAGGATATTTTAGAATCATGACTGACCTTTCTGGTCCACAGATATGCAAAATATAGCCAGCTCATGTAATAAGAGTAAAAATTACATTCTATTATCAATAATGTGCCACTATTTTTTTATACATTAAACTTTAATCAGAAGTCTAACTTCTCTTCATTTATTTACCTGAATTAAATAAAAGCTTTAAAATATTTACTTACAAAAAACTTAGGTTAGAAATGAATTCATAATTCAACTTAGAGTTAACACACCACATTTTGTGCAAAAATTAAAAAAAAATCTTCAGGTATATACAACTTTATGTGGTACCAAAAAAAAAAAAAAAAAAAAAATGAAATCCTCAAATATACAAGGGGAAACCAAATTAATTTTTGGAGGGGAGGTCCCTTATAGTACAGGCTTTCCCCAGCTAGGTAAGTGTTTTAGAAACCCATTGGCATCAGTGTACCAGCTAGTGTTGTTATGAGAGGCTATGCTCAGCTTCAGTTCATTTTTTTTTTTTTTTTAGATTCTTTCAGTGTGTATGCCAATTTCATGATGGCTCATTCATCAACACACCTGCCCAGACCATACTGAGTGTTTGACCAGTAATGGCATGGCCCCATGCTCAACTCTCCCCCTTCACCTAATCTCACCCTGAGCAACTGTTTGGTTTGTTAGTTTCCCTGGATAAAAAAGTTCTCAAATGGAAACTTTTGCTGATGTGAGAGAGGTGAAACAAAAAACAACAGAAGCACTAAAAGACACCCAAATTGATGAATTCTAAAATTGTTCTGAGCAATGGAAAAAATATTTTGATAGGTACACTGTATCAAACAGTACTTTGAAAGTGACTGAAGTTTAAACATGTAAGGATAAATACACATTTTTTTAATAAACAGATTTCTTTTTTGGAGGTCCTTCCTCATATATACATACATGTATATACACATATACATACATATATATGTATCAGTGTGTGTTTAAGTATTTCATGTAGAGATTTAATATCTATATGTGTATTTTACTCTGAGATTGTAAATGCTTTGGAGTTATGATTAGCATAATAATAGAGATTTGTTTTCTCTTACAACAAGTGGAAATAGAAAGCTGAGGTAACAGAAAGGATTTCATTTCGGTGTAAAAATTGAAAAAAAAAAGACCATGATGTGATGTTGTCTGTATTTAAAAAGAGAAGAGAATAAACTATTTCTATTTAAAAACAATTGGCCACTAGAGAGAGAAAAAAAATTATAGAGAATTTTAATTACTGCTCTTACTGTATCTCACTCTAAATACATCAGATTATGTTATCTAATCTCACTTGCTTCATACATTCCTTCAATTTCTGTGTCTGGTTTTTCATATTGCTTTCATCATGCTTCTGCCAGAATACGTGATTATACTGGATTTTATTTATTTGTTTATAACCACATCACAGACCAGAATGTGAAACTCTTGAAAGAATTAGATCCTTCTCCTCTCAATACTTATCACTGCACAGTTTCTGGAAATTGAGTAGTACTCAGTGAGTTTTTACTACACGAGTAAACAGAAATATAACATGCTAATTGTTTTGCTTTTGAAAAGAACTTTTGCACTTGAAGATTGGAAAATATTAAGATAATGGGATAAAGAAACTCACTAATTGTTCTAGAAAATACACTCTTTTCCTACTAAAAAATAAGCTCTCAATCCATATACGAATGTGGACATCTCAGATTAATTCCAAGGTATACTGGGACCTAAAATTACAAATATGAGGTAGGAAGGTGGGTAATTTTTGTTACAATAAATACAAGAAAAAAGCGGAAGAGAACACGTTAGTAAAAGGTTGTACATTGATCAGTTCCAATTAACCATTAAAGTAGCAAAGTAAACTTCAAAATCAGCGAAAAGAGCACTTTTTTATTCAATTATAATTCTGGTTCTAAAGTCAAACTTACATACACTTTACATCCTCATTGCAACAATTATCAATTTTATGAGTTAAGTGAGTTATACATACGAAGATTCTGTAGTTCACCAGCATAATTAGGTTAAAAATAATACCTGTTTTACAGGGTTGTTAAGCGTATTTAATGAAAAGATACATATATAGTATTTAAAACTGTGTCTGACAGGAAGCAACTGTAAAAGGGAAGAGCAACCTCTGTCCCTGGGATTGTAAAGGGGAGGGGTGAAAGAAATAACTTCAGCCTTGAAACAGGCATTACACCCTTCCTGGAGGTTTTCCTTTGAAGGTTTCTCCTCTGTAAACATGGCAAGAAAAGCCGGGCTCAGCTGATCAGCCTGTAATCCCACACCTTTGGGAGGCTGCGGTGAGTGGATTGCCTGAGCCCGCAAGTTCGAGACCCACCTGGGCAGGCCAGACCTCATCTTTACAATAAAATCAAAAAATTAGCCGGGCGTGGTAGCACGCGCCTGTAATTCCAGTTACTCGGAAGGCTGAGGCAGAAGGATTGCCAGAGCCCAGCAGGTCGAGGCTGCGGTGGCCGGGAGCAGCCACTGCACTCCAGTCTGGGTGACAACTCAACAACAACAAAAAACATTGCAAGATAAATTGTATCTTTACCGGCTACACTAGTCTAATTAGCACATCTGTTTCTGTAAACTCACTAGCTTGCTGATGTCAGCAGAATATTGTGATAAGAACTCTGGAAAATGTCCAACTCTAACTTTAACCAAGATGTAAGCTAGGACTACTTAAGGGAACTCTGAGTGGGGGCTTCGGGCAGTCTTGCTTGAAACTCTCTTCCTGCAAGCTGTTACCAGCTGGCAGAGCTTTGACTAATAAATTTCTCCCTAGCCAAAATTAAGTCGGTGGGCTGTTATTTAATCGCTCGAACCCTACTTCATATGGGGGCTCGTCCAGGAGAACCGAGCACTTAAATTGCACCCATTTTAACCGATGGGCTTTGTGGGGTTGCGTCCCGCTAACTGTCTGGGTTCAATCGGGCCTGTATCTGGCAGACTCACAACGCCCCTGGAAGCCCTCAGAGAGGTAAGTCAGGCTCCTGATTTCTGTTTTGAGTGCACTCCTTAGGGACCCTCGGGAAAACTGGACGCAGCGCTAATTCTGGGGTCCGAGGTTCTAGTGAGACATCACTGGGATCTCTTGTTTTGCCCTCGGGCAGCCAGATCTCTCTGTTGAGTTTTTGCTGTCTTGTTTGTGTGTTCAGTGTTTGTTACTGTCATGTCTGTTATTGTAATTAATATCAAGGGTGGGACAGGAGCCCCCCTTTATGCCCACATGGGATAATTGCTAACAGTTCTCCAAGCTGTCTTCACCACAGGAGAGAGGGAGAGAATCCACCAGGAAGCAAGGAAGTTAATCCTGGGACCTGGCGGCTGGCCAGCAGAACATGCAGGATTGAAGTGCATCTTTCCCCCGAAAGACCAAACTGGGACCCTAACACTAATCACGGTAGGGAGTGTCTCACCACTTATTGCTGGACTCTGTTGGGGATTTCCAGGCTGCTGCAAGGTGCCCCACAAATTTATCTGAGAGAAGTCACTCAAGGGCTACAGAAATCTCCCACCGCTTTTCTGGAGCGTCTCATAAAGGCTTATTGGACATACACCCCAATAGACCCAAAGGCACCAGAAAACCGGAGTGCCTTTGTCATAGCCTACATCTCCCAGTCAGCCTCTAATATATAATCATAACAATAACAACAACAATAATAATAATAAAATTTTTGTAATCTTTCTCTGGCAACTAAGGGAATAAATAAGCTGTTCTTGTTTTCAAATGCTTAAAGTCAGGTTAAAAATAAGTCTGCTTCTAAAGGTTTAGGCCTTGCCTAAAATTGTAACCAACTACTTGTCCCTGTAAAACTGTTGGGAAGTCTCTTAGAGTTGTGTAATGTATGCTGAGTCCCTAGTTTATATTATAATGCTAAATACTTTGCAGGACTTAATAAGGCATGGGAACTGGCCAGTCCCACCTGATTAAGTCACCTTGTAAGCTCAGTACTTCAGCTAAGGGACAGGTCAAGCACGAGGCACACTCTGTGGTGCATAGAGTGAGACTTAATCACTCTCATTTAATTGTCCACGTCTTATGACTAAGGCTGCTGTTTAGTAATTCATAAGAATTTTTAATAATTTTGCCTGTTCATAATTGGAAATAAATAGGAACAGATCATTTTACATCTACGTGGTCTGTTCACTCTAAAAAGATTTTGTACCAGACAGTTTTTGTAGGCATCATTGGGAAGTCCTGAAAAAAAAAGGGGGCTTCAAAAAAGGCTGAAAACACTCGGTCTGGGAGAAGCCATCAGGGTTCCAGGAATTCCTGGCATTGCTGTTTATGACTTTATTTAGTTATTTGTTTGTTTTAAAATTCTCCATTGAGAAATAAATTCTAAGTGTTCAGAGAAAATTCTGGGTTTTCAAGAAACATGACCAAGAGAGTGTGTAGTGGTCTGTGCCCTCAGACACCCCGATGGGACAAATTTTGAATGATTGGAGCAAATGAAAATTATGTGGTTTAATAATAATAATAAGTACATTATTAAAAAATCAAATTTAAACTCACTACAAGTTAGCAGATAATAAGATTTGGAAAAGAACAAAACTATCTGGCAATTAAATTCACTTTGTAGACCTAAGGAAAAATAAAATGGTCAAAAGTTCTGTATGCAGAGGCATTTAAAAAATTTATTTTGCTACTTTACAAACAAGATTATATCCTATAGAATACTAAATGCCAAACTCCAGAGGCTTAACTCAGGACTAGGAATACCAAACTCCCAATTATAAAAAGCCTCTGAAGTTCTTAGAAACTGAAACATTAAGGAAAAAAAAAGGAAAAGAACTCCAAAATGAGCACCAGCCAGAGGAAAGGTAAACAAATTGGCAGTTGCCACTAAAGGCAAAAGCTCCAGACACCCAAAAGAGGCCTGATAAGGATAAACCTGCTA